GGGCGGGCGGTGACACCAAAATGACTGTCTATAAAATTTTTGTGCAGCGTTTCAGCAGAAATTTATTATTTTTTATAAAAAATTCCTGTAGTTATAACAACAAAAACATTTTTCGTAAGCTGAGCTTCCAAACCAAAACCAATTACCATCAAGTCAATTCCTACTCATAGCAACTCTATAGGACAGAGTAGAACTGCCCTATAGGGTTTCCAAGGAGCGCTTGGTGGATTCCACCTGCCAACCTTTTGGTTAGCAGCCTGAGCTCTTAACCACTGCACCACCAGGACTCCAAGCCCAGCTTACATGTATCAATATACCTACAAGAATAAAACTTTATGCTGATTTATGTTTTGAAGCTTCCAATGCATTCCAGTCAGAGCTGTCGTAATTACCCAATTACTATGACGCTTTGAATCACATGGTTTGGTCTGCAGGTGCTACAAGCAAGCCGCACTGTTGTTCTTGTTGTTGCTGGTGTTTTTATAGTCACTGATTTTATGAAATTTTCTGATGTTTTAGCTGTTGTGGTAATTAGTATTTGTAAACTTATGTCAAAAACTTTTTTGAGAATGAAGTCGTAATTAAAGGAAAAGAAGGAGTGATATACGGGAACTATGATTTATGAGTAACGTTAGTACAAAAAACCCTACTAGATTTCGTATGGTCTGGTACAGGAGGAGGTCTGTGATGGGGGGGCATGAGTTAGCACACTGGGTGATACCACTGATGAGAATCCCACCCAGGTGTCAACAGAAGCTGAGTAGGGAACCTTGAATTCTACCCAGCACTTTACCCTACTGGAGCAGTGTCAGAGTAAGCCAGCTGAAACAGAGGTGTAAATAAAATGCAGGGTCTCATATCATAATCACCAAAATGTCCACGTCCTCAATGGGTGTCTTAGTTATCTAGTGCTGCTGTAACAGAAATACCACAAGCGGATGGCTTTAATAAGCAGAAGTTTATTCTCTCACAGTCTAGCAGCCTAGAAGTCCGAATTCAGGGCACCAGCTCCAGGGGAAGGCTTTATCTCTCTGTTGGCTCTAGAGAAAGGTCCTTGTCATCAATCTTCGCCTGGTCTAGGAGCATCTCTGCACAGGAGCCCCAGGTCCAAAGGACATGCTCCACTCCCTAGCACTACTTTCTTGTTGGTATGAGGTACCCATGTCTCTTTGCCTGCATCTCTCTTTTGTATTTCAAAAGAGATTGGCTTAAAACACAACCTAATCTTGTAGACTGAGTCCTGCCCCATTGATATAACTGCCGCTAATCCCACCTCATTAACTTCATAGAGATAGGATTTACAACACATAGGAGAATCACATCAGACGACAAAACGGTGGACAATCACACAATACTGGAATCATGGCCTAGCCAA